GCTTTTAGTCATTTGTTATTCATAATTTAGTTTAGTTTGCTTTGCTTCTATTCTGATAATGTTTACAATCAGTAAGAAGCAAAAAAGCTTCATGAACTTATAAGTTCAATAAATCTGGGGCTTCCCTGGTGGTGCAAGGGGTTAACGCTTAGCACTATGAAGCTGTCAGCAGCCACTGCAGCATGAATTCAATCCCCCAGCCGGCCAGGGAGCTACCCACATGGCACAGCAGACCTCTCCTGTCTCACCTGCTGCTCCCCTCAGCAGTGTATTTTAGTAGATCTGTCTGTTCTGCTTCCCACTCTGTCTCTGGTGAGTCCTCTTACCCGCCCCCCACCCCGATCCCCACCTCTGCCCTATGCCCCAGCTCTTGTATGCATAAATAAATAAATCTTTAAAAAAAAACTCTAAAAATTAAATCTGAATCCATGCTACTAGGTTCAATAAGAAATGTCAGAAGAATGAAGAAGGAAATGAGTTACCAAAACTACTATCCTGTGTTCATGCAAAATAAGAATTACATGAAGTTGATGAATTTGGTTTTCTGCTACAGAAACAAAGTTTTTATTTTATAGATCTGCTTTGATAAGAAATTAAAAATAGTTTTCCTGGGAAACCAAGATTTTGTATTTTAAAATAATTCCTGTCCATGTTACCTCTGTCAGGTTTTTGATTACTTAAGAAAACAGTTTTCTCAGTATGGATGATTACACATTTTAGAATGTGTAAGGATGACTTAGAATGTGTAGGATGTTTACGCATTTTAGAAATTTTTGTGTGAAACTTCATTGGTATTTCCCAGATTGAAGGAACACCTTCTCTCTTTCCCTCTCTCAATTAAAATAACACTGGTTTTCAACATTGCATATGATTCAGAGGTATCACACCTCTTCAGATGTCTGCAACAACACCCCACTCACTACCAAGGCACCCACAGTCCTTCACCACGATGAGTACATTTCAGGAATTGGTGAAGTACAAATTTTTGAACAAAGATACAAAAAATACTTTTTCTCCCTTCCCAGTCCAGCCAAAATTATAAAACTCATAGTAAATATTATTTTAATTAGGGTGAATAGTTATTTATGACAGATCACCAAGAATTTCATCTCCTTGAAACAAGACACACACTTGGATAACAGAGTTATAATATTATGTCTGATTGGAATGTTGTATGTGAAAGAATTGTGCTTCAAATAATATATGATCTGTCTCGCCCGCTATTCCCCTCAGCAGGGTATTTCAGTCAATCTGCCTGTTCTGTTCCCCACTCTGTCTCTGGTGAATCCTCTCACCCCTCACACCTCTGGCCTGTACCCCACTTCTTGTATGCATAAATAAATAAATTTTAAAAAATAAAATATGATCACACAGCTTTAAGGAAGTAAGACTGACTTTAAGGAGACAATGCATAGGAAGTGCCCTTAGAAAATATGGTGTCGGGCCTCCCCGGTGATGCAGCGGTTGAGCGCTGGGTTGCAAAGCTGCCCGCAGCCTCCGCGGCGCCGGTTCGATCCCCGGCTGCAACCCGGTCACCGGAGGAGGGTCCCACATGGCGCGCAGACCTCTCCTGCCGCCCGCTGCTCCCCTCAGCAGTGTACTTCGGTCCTTCTGCCTGCTCTGCTCCCCGCTCTGGCTCTGGTGAATTCTCTCACCCTCCCGCGCTTCTGACTGTACCCAGTGCTTGTATAAATAAATAAATCTTTGAAAAAAAATAAAAAAAAAAGAAAATATGGTGTCACCTGCTTCACAGGGTCCCCATCTTAAAAATCATTAAGATGGTCCAAGAACCTCAGGATAGTTCAGGGATACAAATTTATAGGTATTGCAGGCAAACATCTGGTGAAATGACCTATTCAGGCTATCACAATTTTGCTGGATTTATGGAAATAATCAGGTGGTTTAATGACACTGGATTCTATCTTGCAAATTACTCCGACTTTGATTGTCGCTGAGAGAACAGGGGTGAGAGAAGAAACAGCTTCAATGGAACACTATGCTGTACCATGTGGATTCCATCTCACCAATTTTGATGATATTTTTACAAATCCTGAATTCTTCTATTTTCCTCCTGTATCTGCTTATATCAATCCAAATTAACATTTCTATTCTTTCTCCCTTCTGCTTGGAATAACTCAGAAATAAAACCATCCTTTTCATGCAGCTCTGCAAGTCGAAGCTGGACAACATGATATAAAATTCAAGGGACTCACAACAGCTCATGTATGGGCAACTTTCATGCTTGCAACTGTGTGGGCCACTCAAAAAGGTCACTGGAAGAATAGATGCCAAAACCACAGATTCAAAATGCAAACCAGGAGGGCCACTGGAGTGTCCTCACTCCTCCATCTAAGGATGCTTTGAAACCTACATCAAGAAATCTTAGTGACTGGGCCTCCCCGGTGGCGCAGCGGTTGAGCACTGGGTTGCGAACCTGCCCGCAGCCTCTGCGGCACCGGTTCGATCCCCGGCTGCTCCCCGGCCACCAGAGGAGGGTCCCACATGGCGCGCAGACCTCTCCTGCGGCCCGCTGCTCCCCTCAGCAGTGTACTTCGGTCCTTCTGCCTGCTCTGCTCCCTGCTCTGGCTCTGGTGAATTCTCTCACCCTCCCGTGCTTCTGACTGTACCCAGTGCATGTATAAACAAAACAAGCAAATAAATAAATAAATAAATAAATAAATAAACAAACAAACATGCCTCTATAAAAAAAATAAAAAAAAAAAGAAATCTTAGTGACTGCCCTCAGGATTCAGAAACATGACTTTCAATTGTTAATCTTTGTTTTTCTTTTATTTTCATAGAAACTCCCCTCATTTATAGTGTGACAGCTAACACCATCCAGCAAATACCCTCTGCTACCAAGTTTCAACAGATGATTCAGTCTATTCCTCCACAAACAAAGTGTGGCCAAAGAAGAAACTGATGATACTACTCATGGTAAGAGGAATGTTTCTTCTTCCTCTGGACAATAAGGGGACTAAAAAAATATCATTTGGTTGACCGAACTTGGTCAGACTTCTGAATCTTCTCCTAGGCCCATCTGTGCACTTCCCTGTAAAATCCTTAGCAGAAACCCTACTAAATGAGTTTTGCAAGACCTTGCTAAATGATTTTTGCAAGAGTCCCTCATCTTCTGTATCCAATCATCCTGATACATGACTATTCTATAGTCCACCATCACCAGGCAAGACTGGCCTGTATATAGCAAGAGTCCTGTGTCTATTGAGTGAGGGGTTGCTTTAACTCTGTTTCCTATTAGTGATATTTCATTCAGTGCCTTCCACCTATTTATTGATATAGATTCCCACTTCCCAAACTTCTATTTGGAATTGAGCCCAGTACGACACTGAGATATCTTTTCCTTATTATAGTAGCCCTGAATAAATGTATTTTTATTGCTGTAAATACCATCCTGCTTTGACTTTCTTTTGAGTGTGTTCAGTATCAATTACCCCATCCAGCACAGTAACTTCCCTCTTTACTGTTGATTCAGAGGCTTGAGGAGCCCAACTAACTAGGTGGCAGTCATAAATTCTTCATTGTGGAAATCATTGTTTTGTCTCTTGGGGGAAGTATTCCTTCTGCTGGAACTAAGACCAGGTCAACAGAGCTTAAATGTCATGGAAACAGGAAGCAAAACTGTCCCTAGGGGTGGCTGAGGTTAAAAAGGAGTGGTGCCACTATTATTAACGCCCCTTGATCCTGGAATAATTATTCTAACTATCTAAGTACCAGCACCATATATTGGAAGCTGATTCAGAACATATATAGCCTCCTGAAGAACCTTGCTGCAGCTCTGCAATATATTGCCACCTGGTTGAGTGAGTCTTCAAAAGGCCCTTATACCTTCTGTTAAGCCAACTACTTCAGAATGATAACATTGTAAGATAATAAACTCATGAACATGGGCCGACTGTCACACTTCTTTTTCTGTGAAGTGGGGCCCTGGACTGAAGAATGCTCCATGAAACACTATGACAGTGTAGGACACACTATTTACATTCACAATATATTCTTGGAAGCAGAATTATGGGCAATTAAGACAAAAATGTACTCAGGTGAATTATCCATTCCAAAAAGGAATGTTGCCCCTTCTATGATGGAAATATTCTATTGTAGTCAACCTGTCAGCAGTTCACTGTCTAAAAACTCTATATAATTGTACCATATGAAGAACTCAGTGTTGTCCAATTCGGACAATCAAACACTTAACTTTAATGAGTGGTAGTCCATGTGGACCAGCACAAGCATAACCATTCTACCACCAAGGTTCCAAATAGCATCCTGATGAAACTTAAAGAACCACTGGGTATGCTGGATTACCTCCAATCTGATGGATTACGTGGCCCAAAGGGCACTTCAGCTTGTAAAGAGCATCTTAGAACTGTCGCAGAGCCTTCTCTGCTTCTGGGCCCAACTCAAAACTAGTAGTTTTCTGGTCACTCAATAAATGGGCCAGACTAACACACTCAAATGAAGAATATGTTTTATATGAAATTCAAAGATGCTCACAAGGTGCTGGACCTCCTTCTTGGTTTTAGGGTAAATTATTTACCCTTCCCCTTAAAAAAGGACATCAGAAATGCCCTACACATTGGATTCCAAAAATCATGCTAAGGCAGAAGACCCCTGAATTTTAGTTGAATTTATCCCCCAAACTCTGACATACAAATCTTATCATTAAGTCTAAAGTAGTTTCTATTCCCACGCATTAAGTTAAATAACATATTTTCATCAACGTAACAAACAAATGCGATATCTTCTGGAAGAGAAAGCAATCGACATCCCTATAAACTACACTGTCACACACAGGCTTGAAAAGTTGATATAACCTGAGGCACATCAAAACCTGAGGTAGGACAGAGAAGGTATATTGCTTTCCTGGCCAACTGAAAGGAAACTGCTTCTGGTGAGTGAATGGCAAGGTATGCAGATAAAGATATTTGCTAGATTAGCAGCTGCACTCCAGGTTAGCAGGCTATATGAGAATTAGCTGCATCAATAAAAGCACATCTGTACAGTCATCACCATGCTGTCTGCAATAATACACTATCATTCCCTAGGAGATTTGTTTTTTTGCACAGGTCAACCAAAAGAATTGAAAGGGTGTTTTTGTAAGCTTTGGTTCCTTAAAGTCAACCTTAGTTCCTTAAAGCTGTCTGTTATATCTGATTCAATGCATATCATTCTTAAATATGACATCCTAGACACAGCCTTGGTAGTACAGTGTTTTCCATTGCAGTCTGTTACAAGGAGAACAGATTTTTTTTGTTGTTGTTGTTGAATGTATACAAATATTTTGTCATAAATGTAAGAATACTGACCAAGAGTTTTTAATTCTGGAAGGACAAAGTGGGGAGAAAAAGAAATTGTTGCATCTTTGTTCGAGAAGGTATACTTTACCAACTTGCTATATGTCATCATTTAAGAAGAGTTTCCCTTCAATCTGGAAAAGAAAACATAAAACGAACAAAATATTTTTTAAAAAATCAAACTTTCAAACAAATGACTCCAATTGAAGTTAAAGATAATTTGATAACTAGTATTTGTTATTTCTGTAGCAAGAGACATTTTACATAATAATCTGACAATGAGGTATTGGCAATGCATCCTATGTAATTTAACAGAAAATAAACCTAAATAGTTTAGCATCTCTGTTCAACAAGATGAGATATAGAATCTTTTCTTCCAGGGGCCATCTGGGAATTTTCAAATTTATTTTGCAGTCGAAAAGATTCAATTTAAAATTTGATTTTGGGGATGTTGTCAAAAATGTTGAAAAGTTTGAACACTTGACTGCTAGCATCACCAGTTACTGTGAAACAACACACAGTTATCCATTTAAACAAGGTGACAAGACATTTCACAGGAAAACACATACTTACATGGTAAAAAATAAATGTCTTTTAGTACAAGGAACTATTTTATTAAGTAGCCAAAACCCTGATAAAGATAACATGAAGCACAGAAAATTATTTTTAGATATAAAATATTGGTTTCATAGGCAAAATAACATAAGAAGGTAAAGAACAAAATTTATCAAATTTGTTGTTTTAGTAAAGAAAAAGAAACAAAGTGTAACTTAGGACCTTCCTGGTGGTGCAGGGATAAAGTCTCAGCGCTAGCAAGCTATTGCCAGCCATGGCAGCATGAGTTCGATCCCAGGTCAGGGAGATAACCTACATGGCACAGCAGCCCTCTCCTGTCTCGTCTGCTGCTACTCTCAGCAGTGTATGTCAGTCAATCCACCTGTTCTGCTCCCTACTCTGTCTCTGGCGAATCCTCTCACCACTCCTGCACCTTTGACCTGTACCCATTTCTTGTATGCATAAATGAAATATCACTTTTTTAAAAAGATTTTATTTATTTATTTATAGAAGCACTGGGTACAGTCAGAAGCGCGGGATGGTGAGAGGATTTACCAGAGCCAGAGGGGAGTGCAGAGCAGGCAGACTGATGAAGTACACTGCTGAGGGGAGCAGTGGGTGGCAAGAGAGGTCTGTGCACCATGTGGGACCCTTGCCCGGCGGGGATCGAACAGGTGCTGCAGAGGCTGCGGGCAGCTTTGCAACCCAGCGCTCAACCGCTGCGCCAGCAGGGAGGCCCTTGTATGCATAAATAAATAAATATTTTTAAAAAGAAACAAATTATAATTTGGATCATTGTATTACTAATTATAGGAAAATTAAAAAAAAAACCTTATAAAGGAATTCATCCAATCTTAGCCAGTTTTGATCAAACAAGTTGGTTCCTTTCCTACAAAATTTCTAGAACTTAAAAAATTTCCTCATTCAGTTTTTATTACTCGTTTCATTATTTTCATTCTGGAACAATCATTTTATGTTAGTGCAAAATTACTAAGCACAGACCTCTCCCATCTTTCCCCCTGCTCCCTTGCAGGGTACTTCAACAAATCCCCCCTTTTCTGTTTTCCACTCTGTTTCATTCTAAAATTTAGCCATAAGTCAGTAAAACAGTGATACAATCTAACTGATTGATCTCTACTTTATATATATACATTTTTAAATATTTAGTTATTTATATATATAAGAACTAGGGTACAGGCCAGAGTTGTGGGGGGTGAGATGATTCACCAGAGAAAGAGTGGGGAACAGAACAGGCAGACTGACTGAAATACACTGCTGAGGGGAGCAGCAGGCGAGTCAGGAGATGTCTGCTGCACCATGAGGGTAGCTCCCTGCCCAGGGATCGAACTTGTGCTACAGTGGCTGTGGATATCTTCAGAGGTTGCATCTTAATCCCTGGCGCCACCAGGGAAGCCCTCTATATTTTTATCTAAATTGTGTTTCTGGAAAAATGGACAAGGTTAAAGTTAGCTATTTGCCAATATTTGTGTAGGAGACTTTATTTTTTTTTAAGATTTGTTTATTTGTGCATTCAAGAACTGGGATATAGGCCAGAGACATGGGAGGTGAGAGGATTCAGGGTGGGGGACAGAACAGGCAGATTGACTGAAACACACTGCTGAGGGGAGCAGTGGGTGAGACAGGAGAGGTCTGCTGTACAATGTGGGTAGCCCCCTGGCTGGGAATCAAACTCATGCCGCACTAGCTGTGGATAGCTTCATTGTGCTGCGACTTAATCCCCTGCATCACCAGGGAGGCCCTGATTAGGGGACTTTAAAGATTTTTTTTGTCACTCCATGTAATCTGAGGGAGGTTATGGAGTAAATTTTAGGTTACTGGCTGCGGAGACATCTAGCAGTTCTTTGGAACCCCAAAGGAGTGGCCAAACTATCCACCTCTTTTTAAAAATACTATGTTCTGGGGCCTCCCTGGTGGCGCAGCGGTTGAGCGCTGGGTTGCGAAACTGCGCGCGGCCTCTGCGGCGCCGGTTCGATCCCCGGCTGCTCCCCGGCCACCGGAGGAGGGTCCCACATGGCGTGCAGACCTCTCCTGCCGCCCCCTGCTCCCCTCAGCAGTGTACTTCGGTCCTTCTGCCTGCTCTGCTCTCCGCTCTGGCTCTGGTGAATTCTCTCACCCTCCCGCGCTTCTGACTGTGCCCAGTGCATGTATAAACAAAACAAACAAACCAACCAGCAAACAAATAAATAAAGCATGCCTCTATAAAAAAAATAAATAAATAAATAAAAATAAAAAAAAAATAAAAATACTATGTTCTGTTTTAAACCTTACATGGTTGCTTTTAGGGTCCCTTAGTGCCTTGAGAGCTCTCCATGGTGGGTATGAATCCTTGAGGTCAAGTAACTGTAGGGAGCTGAGTGGTTGAAGAGGGGGGAACAGGTCAGCAGAACAGATGGAAAGATGGGTGAGGGAGGGGCTTGAAGGGGAACAAATCAAAGGATTCAGGGGAAATGGAGGGAAGATGATTAAACATGGTAATTAGAGCTTTATACTCGTTATACATACTAATCCAGACCCAACGAGGCAAACACCCAAAGCACTAAAGAGGAAGGAGGAGTATCACTGAGGGAAGGGAGAGGTTCTAGAGCAATCCGTCTGGGGAGACATTATTTTCTAAGGAGGTTGCTGAAGTTCCAAGTTACCCTTAGTCATAATCATATCATGCCAATAACATAGGAAACAGACTAAGCTAGCAGAGCACATTTTCTGTAGGGGCTAAAGGGGGGATTTTTCAGTCCACTGAGAAGCTCTAGTGCTCATAACTAATGGTACATTTACACTAATGAATAGAGAAACTTGGGACTTTGTGTTTGTCTAACCTATCTTCTTACTAACTTAGAAACAGCATTCTAACCTATCTCTCTTTGTCTGACACTGTAACCTACCTTCTAGAGTATACTCAGTTTTTAAGAATTAACATCTATCCCTCACCAATGGATCCCAGATAGTCAGAAGTGAATACAAAGCTTTCAAAGGTGCACACTCAGGGTCCTGGATGAGGGATACTGGAATCCAGTGATGAAACTGATCCTATCACAGTATCATTACTGTCAAACAAAAACCATAGCTGGCCAGTAGTTACAGTGGTTCAAAACAGATTTTCTTCATTACTACTGCAAAAACAAAAAAGAGACCTAAGATCAGAATTGGGCTCAATCCTAAATATAACACAGCAGATGGGAATTTATAGCCAAGAAGCCTTATGAGCATCAGTATATGGAAAATCACTGCAAGAAATATCAAGGGGGACCAAAACAAGGAGACACCCCAGTGAGAGAAAATTTTTGCACACAATACTAATGATAAGGGAGCAGTCACAAAGATGCACAAAGAGCTAATGAGACTCAAGAAAAACAAAGTAAAGGGCCTCCCCGGTAGCGCAGCGGCAGTTGAGCACTGGGTTGCGAAGCTGCCCGCAGCCTCTGCAGCGCAGGTTCGATCCCCGGTCACTCGGTGAGGGTCCCACATGGCGCGCAGACATCTCCTCCTGACTGCTGCTCCCCTCAGCAGTATATTTCATCGGTCTGCCTGTTCTGTTTCCCGCTCTGGCTCTGGTGAATCCTCTCACCCTCCTGCACTTCTGACTGTACCCACTGCTTGTTTAAATAAATACATCTTTAAAATAAAATAAAGCAAAAAGTTAAAAAAAAAGTAAACGAGCCAGTCAAAAAATGGGCAGAAGAGCTAAAAATCCACTTTTGCAAAGAAGAAATGCAAATAGCCAAAAGGCATATGAAAAAATATTCAATATCACTTGTAATAAGGAAATGCAAATCAAAATCACAATGTGGTACCACCTTACACCAGTGAGAATGGCACAAATTAAAAAAAAAAAAAAGCTAGCAACAACAAATTTTGGCAAGGGTGTGGAGAAAAAGGAACTCTCCTACACTGCTGGTAGGAATGCAAACTGGTGCAACCACTATGGAAAACTTTGTGGGGAGGTTCCTCAAACTACTAAAAATGGAGCTTCCACATGATCCAGCAGTTCCACTCCTAGATATCTAGCCAAAGGACACAAAAACATGAATTTGAAAGGACACCACCTGCACCCCTAAGTTTACTGCAGCACTGTTTACAATAGCTAAGCTTTGGAAACAACCCAAATGCCCAAAAACAGATGACCGGATCAAGAATATGTGAGATATATATATATATACCCAATGGAATATTACTCAGCAATCAAAAGCGATAAGCTCATGCCATTCACAGCAACATGGATGGAGCTGGAAGGGATCATGCTCAGTGAAATAAGCCAGAAAGAAAAAGAAAAGTATCAGATGTTTTCACTTATAGGAGGAAGGTAGACTAACCAAATAAGGGATCAGGAAAAAACAAAAAAATATCAAGGGGGAGGGGGACTCTTACTACACCAACTTAACAGGACTCTTGCTGGAGACAGACCAGGTTGACCAGACATCAGCTGGTAAACGATGAGAAACCAGATTAGATACTGAGGAAGATCAGACAAGGAAGTTGACAGGCTCTTGCTAAACTGACTTGTGGGTGGTGTTTCTTGTTAAGGATTTTATAAGTGCCCATGTAGGAATAGAAGCTTCAGGAGTGTGACTAAAGTTTGGTGAAGCAAAGAATATATCTACTATCAAGGTATATTTGATCATGACTGCACATGGAGGAAGACAGAGAATACAGGATATATACCTCAAAGCTTCTCTTAGTATTGGTCAATGGAAAACTACAAGAACCTAAGCCCAGCAAGACTAGTAATGGCCCCCACACTTCAAGAATGAAGTCTTAGGGGCCTCCCCAGTGGCACAGCGGCTTGAGCACAGTGCTGTGAAGTTCTCTGCAGCCTCCGCGGCGCCAGTTCAATTCCCACCCTGCCAGGGAGATTCCCACATGGCGCAGCAGACCTCTCCTGTCTTGCTGGCTGCTCCCCTCAGCAGTGTATTTCAGTCCTTCTGCCTGTTCTGCTCCCTGCTCTGTCTCTGGTGGATTCTCTCACTCCCCCACGACTCTGGCCTGTACCCCAGTACTTGTATAAATAAATAAATCTTAAAAAAAAGAATGAAGTTTTAGGTTACCTAACCAGGTAAAGATTCATAATCAGTTGAGGGGCTTGCTGAAGCAAAGGGTATACAGAATTTTTAGCAGTATAAATACCAGCTACCACTATGTGATCTATTACAGAAACAAGGACTGTCATTGTAATTGGTAGTTACTTCTTATTTTATTACGTATACTTTTGTGCACATATATACATGTATTATACAAACATCTTTGTTTTCTATTCTCATTTATATCCTTATCATATAACATGAAGAATACTGAATTTCTATCATATTACTTAAGAATTGTTTACTTTACAGCATACCATTTTTTCCCTATAGGATATTAAGGGTAAAATACTTAAGGAATTTACTCTTTTAGGGAAGGAGTTAGTGTGGTTTTGATAGTTTGCAGGGCAGTTTCAAGCACTGTATTATCTCCATAACATGTTATTGATCAAAGCAAGTCATAGCCAGTCCAGATTCCACCACACAGAAAATGAACTCCAACTCTCCAAATGAAGAAGCATTAGAAAACAGATAAAATGATAATGCTGGTGGTGAGTATCTTCTGAGGTTTCCTACTATAAAGAGCTCTTTAGGATGATTATGACAAAGACAAATAACATAAAAATCTGAGCTAAAATATAAATTTTTAAAAGCAAACCTAAGTCAAATATCAATTAATAGTACAGTGACTAAATATTAGGCATTATTGTCTTTATTTGGAGATGAAGTATGGTTTGAGGTGATGCCAATATGTATAAAGATGGTTAATTTATGTGTCAACTTGTCCATACTAAGGGAACTCCAGACAAAATATTATTTCTGTATGGGATCAGCAATGGATTCAAGTAGACTGAATCCTGTGTGGCCAGGCATCATCCAATCAGAAGTAGACCAAAAAGTAGAACAAGAAGGCCAAGGAAAGGCAAATTCCATCTCTTCTTCAGTTGGATTCCAACCTTTCTTTCCTAGAGCTCCCAGTCTTCAGGACTTAGAACACTAGGGTGTTCATCAGAGAGCTGAAAGTTCTTGGTTTTACACTAAATTATACTACCAGCTTTTTTGGTTTCCAGCTTGCTGATTGCAGATTGTGGGTCTTCTTGGTCCCCATAACTGTGTGTGCTAATTACAACAGTAAGTATATAAGTGTGCATATATAAGTATTCTATATGTGCATTTATATTTACATGTGCATAAATAAGCATATATAATATATATGAATATAACTGTGTGTGTGTGTGTGTGTGTGTGTGTATGTCTGTCTGTCTTGTTTGTCTGGAGAATCCAGATTAATAAGGTTCATTTTGAAGCAAGAGTTATTTATTTATTTTTTAAAAAAGTGACAAAAGATTTTAAATGTAAATATAAATCTAAAAACATACGTAGTGTTTTCACAGTGAAAAGACACAGATATCTTAAGTAATTTAGCTCATGATAAAGGCAACGTGAGACACAGAAAATTCTTTTGAGTTTTTTTTTAATTACAGAATCTTTGTTTTTTAGGCAGGTTCCCAAAGAACAAATAAAAAAATACATATTCACATAGATCTTATAGTTTTGGTTTACAAATTTTTATCACTGAGTCAGGAATAAATTTAATAATATGAAACTCACTAATTTATTTAAGAGTTGGTTATCATTTTTTAGCCCACTTAATATTTTATTTTTATTGGAAATATGTTTATGGCAGATGGAGAAAATTAAAGGTTATCTGTTCAATATAAGGGTAAAAGCTTTTTTAAAAAAGATTTATTTATGCATTCAAGAACTGGGGTATAGGCCACAGGTGTGGGGGTGGTGAGAGGATTCACTAGCTACAGAATGGGGAGCAGAACAGGTGGATCTACTGAAATACACTGCTGAGGGGAGCAGTGGGCAAGATGAGAGAGGTCTACTGCATTACCACATGGGTCAGCCCCCTGGCCAGGATCGAACTCATGCTGCAGTGGCTGCTGATATCGTCATTGTACCAAGACTTAACCTGTTGCGCCACCAGAAAGATCCAAGGGTAAAAGCTTTTTACCAATATTTATGAAGGAGAATTTTTAAGATTATCTCTGTGACAATATAATTTATGCTAAGCGAAATGAGTTAGATGAAGAAAGACAAACACCATATGATTTCACTGAAATGTGGTATATAGAGGAACCAAACAAACAAATGAATTAAAACAAAAATAAACTTTAAACTATGAGACCAAGTTAGTGGTTACCAGAGGGAAGGGGGAAGGTGGGTGGTTTACTGAAGTAAAAGGGATCAAATATAGGGGGAAGGATGGAATTAGACTCTTAGTGGTGAACTAAATGTAGTGTGTACTGATGTTGATTTATAAAGACATACACTTGAAACTTACATAATGTTATAATGCAATGCTAGTAAAAATGTTTTTCAAATATCCTATCAGCTCTGATAAGTAATTTAGAGCATGCGGACCACATTTTAGGCAAGAGAGTGGGGCAATCATCAAGCATTTTCTGGAAGTCCCAAAGCCTCAACTGAGTGGATAATTCATTCAGCTTATTTCCAATTAGTCTTTTTTCCTTTTCAGCCTCTGGAAATTGCTTTTGAGGGAGGAGGCCTCAATCCCTGACCTGCAGCAGGGGGCTGAAAGCTCCAGTGACTTTAGGCAATTGAGGACGTGGATTTGAAAAGGGCAGGAGAACAGAGGGATGAAGGAGGTAAGTCCTGCAGGGGATTTATGAAAGGATGCAAAGGAGAGGAGGAAGATCAAATGTGGTAAAGGGAGAAGCAGAAGTAATAGGGAAGGAGGGTGCCCAGAGGCCCAAGTGTGGGGAGATCTTAATTCTCTCAAAAAAGTCACTCAAGTTCCAGATTATCCTTATGCACTAACGACAAGTAAAGAAGCAGAGAGAGTTAGCGGTGCAGCAGCATAGTCAACTGAAACGAGAGTAGGGGGCTTCAGTCAGCCGAGAAATTCCCATCAGAGAAACAGGATCAAATTAAGAGAACAGACAAGCTTCACAAAGAGCCAGGATTAAACAGCCAAGGACAATTATGAAAAGAAGAAGAAGAAATAGCACATGTTGGTGAGAATGTGCCAACAGGAATACTGTGTATTGTTGGCAGGAATATAAATTGGTCCAACAATTTTATAAAACAGTATGGAGGTTCCTCAAAAAATTAAAAATAGAACTACGACATGGCCCAGCAATACCACTTGTTGGTATTTAGCCAAAGAAAATGAAATCATTATAGCTAAAGACATCTGCACTGCCATGTTCACTGCAGCATTATTTGCAATAGCTAAGAGATGGAACACTGTGACTGCTGGCAGAGGAATGGATTAAAAAAAATCCGACTGAAATCAATCTCTCTCTTTTTCTCTCTTTCTTTCTCTCTTTCTCTCCCCCATCCCACTCCATACTCCCCCTCTCTCATTCAGCCATAAAAGAAGAAAACCCTGCCATTTGTCATAGAAGGGCAACTATTGTGTAATCACTTACATAAGGAATCTAAAATAATTAAAAACTGAACGCATATATAAAGAGAGCAGATTGGTGCTTTCAGGGACAGAAAGCAGGGTAAAATGGGTGGGGAGTGTCAAAAACTACAAACTTCCAGTTGTAAGATAAATCAGAAATAAGTCCTGGGATGTAATCTACCTCATAGTAACAATAGTTCACAAGGTAATATTATATATTTGAAAGTTGCTAAGAAAGTAGATCTTGAAAGTTCTCATTACAAGGAAAAAAGTTTGAGAGTATGGGGGGTAATGGATGTTAACCATATTATGATCATCTTTTTGCAAAGTAGACATCAAAACATTATGTGGTTCATCTAAATAAAACACATGTGGTGGTATATGTCAATTTTATCTCAATTAAATTAATGATCCAGAAAAAACAAACACGTTTTTACCAGGGCAGTTGTCATGGGATCCATTCAAAACAAGGAGCTAGGTAGGACCTCCATTCCAACAGATAACTTTCACAAGAAACCTGGGCCTGCAAGCCAGCTTTGGAGAGCATGCTCAGAACTCTAAGAATCAAAGACTCTCCTCACCATGCTTCAGTGGACATTTGTCCAGAGCACTGGAGAGGGAGCTTCACTCACCGCGGACCACGGGCTATGGAACGAGCCAGAGGTCTGGAGAGGGAGACTTGGGTGTCTATGCAGCTGAGCGGTTTGCTTGTCAGGTTCGAGGGTTTGATGGTGGTTCTGATTGAGATCCAAGTGTTGGAGCCTGATGCCTATCAAAGACAAAATCAGACATTAATTAAAAAGAAAAGATCAGACTTTAATCAGAAATAGATCACTGTACTAAGGAAAAGAACCCAGGGTGAACTGAACTCAACTTCCATTTGCACCGAGGGGATGGGGCTTTGCAAAAGGACAGAGAGGCCACACGGTGAGGGGTGGGCCGGGTCTCAGCAGCGTCAGGGAGCCACAAGTTAACAGAAAGTGGGACGGTTTACCCTGGGTCCGCCAGCGAGCACTTACTTACCCACACCAGGCCCCCACCTGCACCCCCAGACCGAGCCAGCAGCAGGGACTTCAGGAGCTGGCTGCAAGCACCAGCCACTCTGCAGCCTCGAGTTCTCACAGGCGGGCAGCGAGGTCCTCGGAGGGCGGCAGCTGGAACGGTTAGAAATTGTGAGTGTTTGTTCAAGTTTTTATAAGGCAAGTCTGCGCCCCAGGGGAGCACAGAACTCAGCGGCCTCATTGGTTTCCCCAGAGAGCAGCTTTGTTGCATTCGAGGCGATGGGCCAGAATACAGGGGGAGGCAGGGAGGGAGGAGAGGAGACAGAAAGAAAGAAAAAAAAAAAAAAAACCTGAAAATGAGAGCATCAAACAAAGGCATGTTACGGGGCGGTAGATGCTACTTATCCTTGATCTAGAAAATGTGAACAATTTACCAATATTCGCTTTGGCTAATATTGGAACCTCACATCAAACAGCTGAAAGAGCGAATGCGGCAGGAAAGAGCTCTGCTGTGAGATGCATGCGGCAGAAACTATTAAGAGGGTTTCGGGAAAGCCAGGAGCCCTCAGAGACCAGGCTCACAGCGGGATGCTCACGCCTGCAAGAAAGGCCTGGAACAGGCTGGTCCACAAGCGGACCACGGCCGCGCAGCGCCCCCTGCCGGCCGCGCCTGTCCCGCTCAGGCGGGCGCTTCCCCGCGCAGCTGCGGGCCGACTTCTCCGGCGACTTCCGGTGAAGGCCGCGCCCCCTCCCGCCGCCGCTAGATGGCGCTGTGAGCTGGACACGCAGAAATGCCGACGCTTTGGGGCCCACCTACCCGTGCATAGGGCTGCAGGGGCAGAATCTGCTCTGGGGTGGGGAGAGGGATGCAAAAATGAGCTGTCATGGGCCCCGCCAATCTGAGACTCTGGGAGCTCTCTCTGTCCCCTTCAGTCTTTGTTGTTGTTTTTTAAGATTTATTTTATTTTTATGCATACAAGAGCTGGGGTACAGGCCAGAGGTGCAGGGGCCAGAGGTGGGGTGGAGCAGAGGAGTCACCAGAGACATAGTGGGGAAAAGGACAGGCAGATAGACCAAAGGACACTGCTGAGAGGAGCAGCGGGCGAGCCAGGAGAGGTCTGCTGGGCCATGTGGGACCCTCGCCGCCGGGGATCATACTGCTGCTGCAATGGCTGCTGCCAGCCCCATAGGCTGCGTCCCAACCCCCTGTGCCACTAGGGAGGCCCCAGTCTTTTTGTCTGGTGCCCAGAACACCTCCTGATAATGTCCAGGGAACTCACTTGTCCTGACTGTCTTCCTGACAGGCAGACCTCTTGGGCTGGGTAACTAGCCCAAGTTACAGGACTGAGACATTGACAATCCTTCGGCACCACCCCATCCTCAGTGGGTTGTCCCTGCATCACCTCCTGACCCTGACTTCCCCTCTCATCTGTCTGCCCAGCCCGCCATGCTCTGCTCTTATGCTCCTCACAGCCTCACAGTAACTGTTCCCAGCAGTCCTGCAAATCCACGGCCTCCTCACATGCCCTCGCTTGTGACAAGGACACACTGTTTCCTCTTCTCCTCTCCAGTTTACCTTGTCACTGCTGTCACTTCAGCATATCCTGAGAAATGCTGCTCAGAGTGGTCTGCCCTGTGCACCCAGGCTAGGTCTGAGGTCTGACACTGAGGTCTCAGCTGCTGCTTTCCCCATGGTTTAGCTTTCTGAACCCGACTGGGCTGAAATCTCGGAGAATATGGAAGCATCATCTATGTGAATCCCCAGAAAGCCTCTCACAGATAGGGAACAGCCAGGGACAGAGAGGATTCTCCTTTCACTGAGGTTCAAAAGCCAGGCTATTTCCACCTGTCACATCCTTACATCTAGTCCCTATAATTCCTCAATTTCTGTAAATATGAACACGACTTGAATCTGAAGATTTTACCTTAGGTAATCAGCACTATAATATGAGACTCTTCACTGAACTGGCCCTATCTTCTGGGTAGGGAATCTTATGCTGCTGGATCCCAAGTAAAATACATTCTCTAAAAATCAGCCCCCAAAATAGTGCCTCTTTTATGAAACTTTTCAAATTTCAACTTTGGGTTCCATCAATTATAATACAGGTTATCCCACTATAGAAAAATAGAACAATTGAATGAAACTCTTTAAGTCAAAGCAAGTCAAAAACAAACAATTACCATTAGCTTATATGGAAAAAAATTGAGCACTTCTGACCCTCAAATTAACCTATCAAATTATACCAAATAATCCATGAAACTTAACACTAGCATATTAGTAAAATTAAAAAAATATATGATAAATAGAAAACCTGTATAATGTAGACTGCAGCAAACCAGCTTGGGGGTGCCCCTCTTGCTGCTGAGGGAGTGCACTGCCTCTGGAAGACTGGCTTCATAACAAATGCTGAGCCTAATATTAATTTTTTTGCCTTTTGTTGTATGAATGAAAATCCCCTTCAGATTTATTTCATTTAGCAAAACAAGTACTAATGAAGATCCTTTACAGAAATGAGGTGGTGTAAAGCAAACTTTAAAAAAAGCTAGGGATACCAATATCCACATTTTCCATTTAAAAAGAACAATGCAGGACCTCCTTGGTGGCACAGAGGTTAAGTCTCAGTGCTATCAAGCTATCACTGGCCACTGTGGCCTGAGTTCCATCCCTGGTATAGAGCTGACCCACATGGCGCAGAAGACCTCTTCTGTCTTGCCTGCTACTCCTCTCAGCACTGTATCTCAGTAGATCTGCTCCCTACTCTTTCTCTGGTGAATCCTCTCACCCCCACACCTCTAGCCTACACCCCAGTTCTTGTACGGATAAACAAATAAATAAATCTTTAAAAAAAAAACCCTAAAAAACAAGAAAAGGAACAATGCATCTTAATGGATCTCAGCACATTGTCATTTCATGCACATACATAAACTCGTTCTGGAAACTTTTCATTGATATTTCCTGGTGAGAACACAAGCTTAAAGGTTTGCAGAACCAGAGCCAATATCTTGGCGTGATGTCTCAGGGGCAAATAAGTAATTTTTTTTTAAATTAAGAAATGCTGCTGCACTGTCTGTGATAACAACAGAGTAGGAGCTTTACCTGAGTTGTGGATAACCATGACTCCAAGACAAACCTGATTCAAAAAAACTGAACACAGACTGGAGAGATACTGATGGGAAGGTAACTAATTAGTTCTGTATATGTACATAGAACAATGTCTATAATTTGTAGAGGACTCTTTCAAAGAGTATAAATAGTATTATGGATATTGTGTTATAATTCAATTAGGCATTTTCCTTTCATTAAGCTGAATTTTATATTGATGAGGTCATTGATTTGATGATATGCTGGTTGATTTACCTTTGCACACAAAAGCAAACTGTGCAAATGTTAACTTTGGCATTCCTGTTTGTATTACTACTGCCAGATTTGTTTATGTCTTCCTCTGTAGATTTTATTAAAATAATTATTTCACCTAAATACTATCAATCAAAAGCCTAAAATCCAGGGAGAGAAAAATCTTCTGTAAAGTTCACAGGAGGAATGAATCAGAAAATTATTAAGATGGAAATTTTATGGCACTTCCATCTGAAATTTTGGAATACTTTAGCATGGTTCAGGCAACTGTGTTCTTGGGTAGTCAACTTATGGAAAAGAACACTGCCACTGAAGCATTCTGTGAAATAAAATAACAGGTACAAAATGCAATGGTTCCTAAAAATTCTAAGTACTACAAAAAAGGGAAAATACTTTCTTTGTGTGTTTTTTTTATGAGATCAGGGGAGGAGAGAACCCAGCATTTTGGCGATAATACTTCTTTTCACAACTTATAAAATGTAAATTATATAAAAGTAGGGGCGTTCTTATAATTCTGATTATAATTAAATTATCATCCTTTCAGTCTTCTATAAAGAAGTGAATTTAAATATTATTCTATCAATGCTTCAAACACTAACAGCCTATACTTGTGCTACAGAATTAGTGAATCAAAGTGAACTTCAAACTTCAATCAGTAGATTGCTGAATCTGAACTAACATATCAGCTCCATTGACAGTAAAAACAACAACAACGACAACAACAACAACAACAACAAAAACATTCCATAATATAGTCATTTAAAAATATATTTTTGATGACAAAATTGTTCCAGACTGTATTGATTGTAGGAACTGGTGATAAAGCAAGACACAATATATAAATATATCAAATTGATACACTGTACACCTTAAACTTACATAGTGTTAATGATATCTCAAAAAAATTAAAGTTCATTGGAATTGCTCCTCTCAAAAAAATGATATAAGCTTGAAGTGCTCTCAGTCTGTCTGCCTGTTCTGCTTCCCACTCTGTCTCTGGTGAATCCTCTCACTGTCCCGCGCCTCTGGCCTATACCCTAGCTATTGTATAAATACAAAAAATCTTTAAAAAAAGAGAAAATGATATAAGCTTGAAGTAAATGCTTTTGTGTTTCCTAACATCAGAGTGAAGACAGACCCTCCATGATTTCTGGCATGGACCAGTCCTCTCAGCCAACCTGCTGGTGTGTTCATAAGGTCTCGTTTTCCCTCCTTCATTTTTTAAAAATATTTATTTATTTATGCATATAAGAGCTGGGGTACAGGTCAGAGGCATGGGAGAGTGAGAGGATTCATCAGAGGCAGAGCA